AAGAGGAGGGGCGGGGCTGTTTATATGTGGGCGTGGTTTGACTGTACGGGGACTTGGGGAGCGAGGCGGTGGCGGGAGGCGCGGAGCCCGTGAGGGGTAGCGGGCGGGAGAAGGAAGGGTCGGCGGGTGGATCTGGTGCTTTCCGCGCTGTGCCGATGCCGGGCCGGGAAGCCTCGGCTGCCCTCAGTCCAGCAGGATGGAGCTGGGGGGGCTCTGGAGAAGCGGCAGCCCCGTGCTCGCTCTGCCAGCCCCGAGTGTCGCGTGTGGCGAGGGCTCTGCTGAGCACCCAGCGCTGGCAGTGAGGGGCCGCTGAGGCGGGTCCGGGGCTGCTCCTGCCGTCAGTGACTAAAGGCGCTCGGCAGAATTGCAGCCAAAGCATCCGGCGTGCTGAGGTGTCTCAGTTAACAGCGAGTGCACAGCTCAGGTTATTTGCAGACTATGGAAAGAAATTACACTAATTGAGAGACGTTTACAGTATTTCAGCACTGAGCAGAAGCTTATTTTTTATTGAGAGATGAGCGTCCGAAGTCACTGCAGGTACAGGGAGTCCAAAGTGTATTTTATTCCTTAAATGCTGTGATGATTTCATTATGAGGTGGTCCACAGCCTTCAAATTCATACCCAGAAATAATGGACTGAGGTTTCATTTCACTTTAGCAGACGTAATTTTTAAATGAGAATAGAATGGATTTTTGGATAGTGTTTCTCCCAAAAAGCGCCTTGAAGCTCATCTCATTCTATCCCCTGCCATGGGCATGGACAGCTTCCACTATCCCAAGTTACTCCAAGCCCTGTCCAGCCTGGCCTTGGACGGTTCCAGGGATCCAGGGGCAGTCACAGCTTCTCTGGGCACCCTGAGGCCTCACCACCCTCACGGGGAAGAATTCCTTTCTAATTTGATGGGACTAACATTATTCATACCACCTTTTTTTTTCTAACACAAATTACTTAAAATTGCACACAGTAATTTGGAGATACAAGTGAAGAGGCATAAGCAAATTACTTATAATGACACACAGTAACTTGGAGATATAAGTGAAGAGGCATAAGTTTGATTTTGATTTTAAAGCATTAATAATTATGAAAATAACATATAAAACCCTATTTATTTGGGTTTTTTACTTTCTGCATAGTTTTCTGTGTTTTGCCTGATCACTCTGTACGTAAGGTTTTCAGAACTGTTTCCTGTTGTTTATGCAGGAGTCTGGCTCTGTGAGGCATTGCCTTAATTGGTTTTTAGATGTTGTCATGAATAACTCAGATAAATAATACAAATAAGGGTTGAAGTTTGTCACTACTTTTCTTTGCTCTTCAGCTTTGAGCTTTTCACTCTCATGCTGTGTCTGAAACAAATTTAGTCCTTGTCTGATATTTTCTCCCTCTTTGAAGCAAATGCCTTCAAAATAAGCCCCCTCACTTTTCATTTCCTTCAGTGACTTTTGTTTGTGAACTGTTGTCATGTGTGAGTGAGACGTATCTTAGAGATGCTTTAGTAAAGTTTGCAAATTAATGGTGGAACATAAATGTGTTACGGGAGGATCCAGGAAAGCACAGCCAGTACCATGTGGAGAAGGTGAAATCTCACAGTGGATGTCCTAGAAAAGTTCTGAATCTCTTCTGCCTTAACCACCTTGCTAGATTGTGTGAATTTGTACATGAGATCCCTGAATTTACCACCTAAGGTGATAATTCAAGTTGATCTCAAATATAGAAGTAAATGTGTTGAGATGATTTTGCTTTATTAGGTATTCATTTAGGAATAAAACTCAAGGCTAGGGACAATAGCTATATAAAATATTCAGAGTGATTTCTGAATAAATTTTATGAGGTTTCAGGTCATAAATTTCCACCTCAAGTAGAATTCTGAAAAGATTCTGCAAATGAAGAGGGAATTTATTGCCTGAAATACCAGATTTACCCTTAACATCCAACAAAATGTGGAGTATGGGAAAGGATGGGGGAAGGGTTCTTGGTTCTATCAGGTGAGGAACATGCTGTAACATTTTTGAGTTTTCAGGTCAGCCCTTGCTGAATTTGTCTTTAAAAATACCACACCAGAGGGAATTGTAGATCACTCCTGCAGGCAACTTCATGCTCTCAAATTTTAACTGCTTTTCTGAGGGAGATGCTTCCTGATGGTGGGAGAAGTGATGAGTCAGGGTAGCACATCTTGGTCTACCTCTAATCTTTCATGCCTTTGGGAAACCATTTTGTCAATACATGCTTCAGTTGCAATGAAGAAATCAAGTTGTAAAAATGAAGGTGTAATTTTCAATGTTTGATGTTGTTTTTAAAACTTGTGAAGATTATAAACTAGAACAAAAATGCTTCATATACTGACTTTTACAATTCCTTTGTTTTCTTATGTTCTGCTAAAAAGAAGTAGTGATATCAGATATTTGGTCTGATGACAAATGCAGGTAGAATTGATACATAGATGGGAAGATCTTTAGAATTTCTTACTGATTGGAAGACTGAACTGTTTTCTTCCTTTGGTAAGAAAGGGGAAATGTAGTATTTAAATAAAAGCCAGCTACAGGTGGATGGCTGCAGGATTCTATCTGGTTGTTTGTGACAGACTTAGAGATGGGGATCCAAAAAGTATGCAAAGTATGAAAATACCTAGAAGCAACTTAAGTCCCACTCCTAACTTCACCATAGATACAAGTAATATGTTCATTGGTTTTAATTAAGAGGTCTGGCTAGAAAGCATATTAAAACTGCTCTAAAAAATAAATATTACAGATGAGCGTCACTCTTAATGCAGGTGAGAAAGAAATCCTGATGTTCTTAAGTTGTTTGGTTTTTTTCTGAGAAGATGGGTTATCTGTGTGGCTATTTACATATTGGATAGAAAATTGTGAGGGCTTAGGTGCTCACACTTCATGCAGAGATTTAAATTCTTAATAGCTCTTCATTTTAAGCTGTAGCAAATATTCCAGTGCTGTGATTGAAAGATATCTTCCACTGACATAGGGATAAAGATTTTTTTTTTTACCTTTCCTGAATATGTTCAAGTGTTTTTGTTGACTCTTAATACATTTTACACTTTCTTTTTAAATTATTCTTTAATTTTCAGCTTTTTAATTGCTGTGCCCTTGAGGTCAGCCTACCTTGAGCCCATGTGCAGCCAAACTCAAGACTTGTCCTTCCTTTGGCTTACTTTTTTTTTTTTTGAGAGCTGTTTCCAGTTCCAGTGTCAGTGGAGCAATGATCATTGCCAGTTCAGAGGAAAATTTGCAGCTGAAATTTTATGCCTGTTTTTGGAGGCATAATTCACAAAGGAATTTTGATTCTAGTAGTTTTAGCAATGTAGAGAGATTTAATCCAAGTTCTCATATCTTTAGAAGTAGCCCCTAATAATAGTCATCTTTGGGTTTGTTAATTCCAGCAAATGAATTTTGGTGTTGACAATATAATACTGCAACTGTGAACTTCTTCCCAGCATGGTAATTTTTCATTTTAATGTCTCACTGGGACAGTTTTGTGCAGCTGAATTTGC